CCTGGCTGGTCTCAAACTCCTGGCCCCCGTCAGTCCTGTTGCCTCAGCCTCCCAGAGGGCTGGGATTGCAGGAGGGAGTTCCCACGCCCGGTCACGGCTTTGTTTCTAAAGCAGGGACTGGGGCTTGTGGGGTGGAGGCTGTGGCGGCCCAGAGGCCGCTCCTCCCCATCTGGAAGCTGTCGGGAGGGGTCATTTGTCCCTGTCTGGCCATCAGCAGGCACGCCGGGTGTCACCCCAGGACGCCTGTGGCCGCAAGTAATCCTACTCTCGCCACCAACAGAGCGAAGCAGGTGGTAAATCTGACCCCTCGGCAGTCCCCAGGCGGGTTCCCAGCCCTGGATCCTTGGGGCACCTCTCCCGAACGGTCATGACAGGTGTGACTCTGAGTTCCCGGCAGCCTTGCTGGGAGGCAGGCCAGGTCACACAGAGGGAGGAACGCTCGGAGGTCTCAGCACCATCACGAAAGCAGGAAGTCGGGAATCTTGGCCCTGGCAGGCGGGAGCCAGACTCAGGACTGCAGGGCATGGGCGCCGGCTCCAGGTGGTGGCGGGGCGGGGCCTGCAGGGGGGACATGGGACAAGTCAGGCTTCCCCAGCCCTGCAGTTAGAGGGACAGGCGGAGGGGCCCAGGGGTGGAGGGAGAGCCCCAGTGGGCGGACAGGAGGACAGGTGGGCGGATGGAGGGAAGGTTGGATGGTTGGATGGTTGGATGGATGGTTGGATGGATGGATGGATGGAAGGTTGGATGGAGGGAAGGTTGGATGGATGGATGGATAGTTGGATGGAGGGAAGGTTGGATGGATGGATGGATGGATGGATGGAAGGTTGGATGGTTGGATGGATGGAGGGAAGGTTGGATGGTTGGATGGATGGATGGTTGGATGGAAGGTTGGATGGTTGGATGGATGGATGGATGGAAGGTTGGATGGACGGTTGGATGGTTGGATGGATGGATGGAGGGAAGGTTGGATGGAAGGTTGGATGGTTGGATGGATGGATGGAGGGAAGGTTGGATGGAAGGCTGGATGGTTGGATGGATGGAAGGTTGGATGGATGGTTGGATGGTTGGATGGATGAATGGTTGGATGGAAGGTTGGATGGTTGGATGGATGGAAGGTTGGATGGATGGTTGGATGGTTGGATGGATGAATGGTTGGATGGAAGGCTGGATGGTTGGATGGATGGAAGGTTGGATGGATGGTTGGATGGTTGGATGGATGGATGGATGGAGGGAAGGTTGGATGGATGGTTGGATGGATGGTTGGATGGATGGATGAGTGGATGGATGGAAGGATGGATGAACAGATGGACAACGGGCAGATAGACAGAGGCCCCTGCTCCTTTGGTGGCACTGGGTGGGTTGTCCCTGCCCACTTGGGAGCCTTCTCGAGCACCAAGATCTGTCCCTCTCAGGGAACACTTTGTCAAGGCCCAGAGGAAAGGTGGATGCTGTCACCCCGTGCCCACCAGGTCAGGCTGAGCACGTTCCTGTGAAGGGCTGGCGACCTCGTGCTCTGGGTTGTGCAGGCCAGCTGGACTCCACGCTGACTCCGCAGGTTTGCAGGTCCAAGGGACAGAGGGACGGTGCTGTGTGGGGATGGTGCATGGGCTGTGTGCCCACCCGGCTGGGCCGGATCTGGCCAAGGCCGTAGCTGCCCTCCCTGGCCCTGGGAGGACACTGCACCCCACGCCCTGTGCCACAGTCCGAGTCTCTGATCCGCATCCCACCAGGGGCCAGGGCACAGAAGTGTGACCCTGACATCCCCCTGATGGACCTCTGAGACCGACCCCTGCTTAGCATCCCATTTCTTGCCCTGTTCCCATCCATCAGGGCACGTGTCACAGCAGTATTTTGGGGCCGGGGGTGGTGGTGCCTGTAGTCCCAGCACTTTGGGAGGCTGAGGCGGGAGGATCGCTTGAGCCCAGGAGTTGGAGGCTGTGGTGAGCTCTGACTGTGCCACTGCACTCCATCCTGGGAGACAGAGGGAGACCATGTGTCTGAAACACTTTTCTTAAGCTGTTTTTGGTCATGGCTCCCTTTTCTCAGCACCTCCCTGGGCATGGCGCACGGTGGGTGGGGGAAGCCTTGCTAGCGGAAGGAATGAATCAACTCGGTGCTGACTGCACAGGCTGACACCGCCTGAGGCTTGGCCTGGGGTGCAAGTTAGTCTGTCAGCTTTGAGCAGGCACCTTGGCAGAACTACCTGCTGGGTGTTTTTTGGTTTTTATGAGTCAGAGCCTCACTCTGTGGCCCAGTCTGGAGTGCAGAGTCACAATGATGGCTACTACAGCCTCAACTTGCTGGGCTTGGGCAATTCTCCTGCCTCTGCCTCCCGAGTAGCCGGAACTACAGGTGCGTGCCACCACATCCAGCTCATTTTCTTATTTATTGTACAGTCACAGCCTTTCTATGTTGCCCATGCTGATCTCAAACTCCTGGGCTCAGGCCATCCTCTCACCTTGGCCTCCCAAATACCTGCTGGTTTTAATTCTTCTGGGAAAACAGTGAGGTCCTGTCTCAAGCAGCTGGGCCCATTTTAGGGCATTTCAGACAGCCCCCTGCTCCATCGTGGGGCCCCACCTGGCTTGGGGCAGCTCGAGGACGGACAGGACATCTCAAAAATGCCACACGGGGCCAGGGCCTCACGGCGGGACATGTCTGTCCCCGGCAGGGAGGGCTGTCGCGAGGTTGGAGGAGCAGACAGATGGCCTGTTGGGAGGTGGCGGCAACCATGCATGTCGGAAAGTGCCTGTCCTACTTCCTGGTAGCAGGAGGGGAAACTGAGTCCTGGCAGTGCTGAGGAGGCCGGAGGAAGCTGGCTGAGGAGACTCTGGGGACTGGGGGAGGGTGGATGCTGGTGATGCGTCGTCAGGGGGTTGCCCGCCCAGGACACAGCCACATGGCAGGAGCCACGAGGGCGCCGGCCCAGTGAGGGTCCCTGGGCTGGCCCTGTCCTGCCCGGCCTGGTCCTGGCTCCTCCCCCTCTCCGCCGGCGACCACCCTCGGGCTCGCCCTGCAAGCCAACCCAGGCGCCTGAGCCTGGCCCGGGCACCCTGCCGCCCCTCCAGCTTCCCTGCCCAGCTCCAGGCACAGCCACCTGCCAAGCCGCCCCCAGCTCCCTCGCCCCACCCCCCTCTCAGCCAGTCCTGCTGGCTCCACCTTCAAAACGGACCAACCTCCCCCCCACCGGACGCCTGCCCTCGCTGCCCCGACGGCCTCCCACAGCAGCCACCAGGGGTGCCCGTGAGCCGGGGTCAGGCCTTCCCTCCTCTGCCCACAGCCTGCCAGCGCTCCCACCGCCCTCGGGGTCAGAGCCCAGCCCCTCCCCGCAGCCCACCAGGCCCTGCCCAGCCGGCCCTTCCTCCTCCGCTCTGGCCCCATGGGCCTCCAGAACACCAGCTGCCGTCCTGCCCCAGGGCCTTTGCACAGGCTGCTCCCTCCACCTCCACCAGGTCTCCCTGTTCCAACGGCAGCGACAGGGATGCTCCCTTCCCCTGCTTTCCTGCATCCCTCCGGACACCTCCACCCCTTGACTTCCAGCACCAGCTCCAAGGGGTCGGTCTCCTGTGTCCCATACCCACCTTGTGGCCGGCGTGTGGAGGGGGCGCTCAGGGCTTCTGGGGTCCCGGCCTGCGGCCGCGGGCACCAGGGCGCACTGTGCTCCCGGGACTGCGAGACCCACCACCTGGTGTGTCCCCGGCTACCCCCACCAATGACACCGCCAGGGCCCAGGGGCCACTGGAACCGGGTCCAGGCCGGGAGGGGCGTGGGACACACAAGGGGCCAGGCGGGGCCCCGGACACACCCTCCCCCGGGCAGCTGCTAGCTCCGCCCAGAAATGAAGACACGACCGGACGCGGCGGTTCTCAGTGTCAGAGGCTTTAATCCATCACGACCCCAGAGGCAGGAAGGAGGCAAAGGTACAGGTAGCCAGGACAGGGCGCACGGGCGGTGGCGCCCTCCTCCCGCACAGTCCAGAGGGACCCTCGCGGGAGACGCCCGCCTGCCAGGCCCAGGGCTGCTGCACAAGCCGCCTGAGCCCATGGGACCAGACCCAGGAGACCCGGCACTGCCAGCCCCGCGAGCACGGTGCGCCCTGGCGTCCGCGGCAGCAGGGCGGCGAGCCCCGGGAGTGGGACTGCCCGCAAGGCTTCCCTCTTCCTCCCGGGCTCTCTCTGGCCCGGACACCGTCAGGACACTCTTTAAAAAAGGGTTTTTAATACAAGCAAATCACCCCCCTCCCAGGTAGGAGGCAGCTGGGGGTGCCAGGAAGGGCCCAGCCTGGCTGCAGGGCCGCCCCGCCCTCCTGTCCCCCCCACTCTCGGGAGGCAGCGACGCCCCGACACACAGACCCGCATCACAGACAGACACGGAGGTGGACGTGGGGGACACAGAGCCCCCGCACACAGGATGGGACAGCTGGGGCCGTGGCTG